AATGGCCTCCAACCTAAAAGCGATGGCCTCCAACCTAACAGTAATGGCCTCCAACCTAAAAGCGATGGCCTCCAACCTAATAGCAATGGCCTCCAACCTAAAAGCGATGGCTTCCAACCTATTAGCGATGGCCTCCAACCTAAAAGCGATGGCCTCAAACCTAATAGTAATGGCCTCAAACCTAAAAGCGATGGCCTCCAACCTAATAGCAATGGCCTCCAACCTAAAAGCGATGGCCTCCAACCTAATAGCAATGGCCTCCAACCTAAAAGCGATGGCCTCCAACCTAAAAGCGATGGCCTGCAACCTAATAGTAATTGCCTCCAACCTAAAAGCGATGGCCTCCAACCTAATAGCAATGGCCTCCAACCTAAAAGCGATGGTACAACCTAATAGTAATGGCCTCCAACCTAAAAGCGATGGCCTCCAACCTAACAGTAATGGCCTCCAACCTACTAGCGATGGCCTCCAACCCAACAGCGATGGCCTCCAACCGAAAAGCGATGGCCTCCAACCCAATAGCGATGGCCTCCAACCTAATAGCAATGGCCTTCAACCTCATAGCGATGGCCTTCAACCATGGCCTCCTACCTGATATTTTAATAGCGATGGCCTCCAACTTAAAAGCCATGGCCTGGTCACAAAGTGACAATCAGCCCATGAACCTTTGAGGCGAACTACCATCATCTTGGCCGTGATTTCAGGGCTGTGACAATGAACCCAATATGCTTTAGGGCTTTCCCTCTTTTCGTCCGTCGGATTCCATTGCCCCACCCAGAACACGGGCAATTCTTTGCTTTCTCGTAAGGCCCCGACAGGTGTCCATGACGAAACGCAATGAGAAGAGATAGCCAGGCGCCACCCAACACATCAACGCTTCCTGGCAATTCTTCTGCAATGTCCCAATAGCTGGGGGAAATTTTCTTAGTACTTTCGGCTTCAAAGAGCTGTCAAAACTCTATTCAGCGTTATCGCTCTGTGACACCAAAGGTCACCCGGCAACAATTTTGGAACTCCCTAAACCCTAAACCGAGTAATGTGAGATGTGGAGTTCCAAAGGCCTCAAAGGCAAAGAGAAAGAAGACCAAGACATTGATCACCGACAAAGTGAGGTTGTCCTGGTTGAAGCCAAGCGACACAGGTACCGAGAGCAACTTGCGCCAAGTTTGCGCCTTTTTCCTGGTTGCAATGGCCTCCATCCTATTTAATAGCAATAGCCTCCATCCTAAGAGCAATGGCCTCCATCCTAAGAGCAATGGCCTCCATCCTCAGAGCAATGGCCTCCATCCTCAGAGCGATGGCCTCCATCCTAATAGTCTAAGCGCAATGGCCTCCATCCTCAGAGCGATGGCCTCCAACCTAGAAGCGACTCGACCTACTACTTTTCCTGTGGTCTTTTGGTTTCAGGGGGTGTTATCAGGTGGTAGCTAGTAGCTACTGGACCGCGTCAGGTTCCTAGACGGAAGCTATGTTAGTCACACTTCCGGATCCGCTCCAACTTGTGTCGACGCTTGGGAATCCGTTCACCTGAGGCTACTAGGAACAAGGGCATCGCTACTACTAGGGGCTCCTGGCATCGCTACTAGGGGCTCCTGGCCGTACTACTAGGAGCAAGTAGCTACTAGTAACAATGAAGCCTTTCAGTATGTCTTTAATAATAAAGCGTTCTAGTAACTAGAAGCTTCCTTGGGAATCGTTTTTCTTGTTTACAAGTTCACAAGTTCGCTGCAAAATCATGTGGGAAGGGGTTTGTAGGAATTCTCCGTCAAGAACACGGTAGGGAAGCAGCCGTCTCTTCATTTTGAATCCTGCT